AGGGAGGGAGGGAAGAGCACAGCCACTGGGGAAGGTGTGGGCAGATTCCAGGGTCACAGAGGGTGAACAGTGCCATCCCTGGCTGGCTCAGCTCCCAGGGCTGGGTTCCTTCGAGGCCTTGGTGCCCTGGAGGCAGCAGGTGAGGGTAGTTGCTCCTGGTCACCTTGCTCTGCCCACATCAGCCTCCACACACCTCCCCCCAGGGCTCCCACAGAGACTGCCTGGACAATGAAAAGAACCTGTGAGCAAATGAATGATTATGACATTTGTGTCATCCATGGAGTCTGGTGACATCACCACCAACAGAAGACTCCTGCACCACAGGGGAGGTGGACATTTTCTGGCTCATGATTTGATAAAGTTGCGATGCTTGGGAGGTGCTCGTCCCGCTGGGCTGTCTCTGGCCGCCTCTCTGCATCTCCCTGACCAAGGTAACAGGACCTTACTGAGGGATGTTGTGGCAGATCGGGGGTGGGGACCGTCCCCTGACCTTGACTACAGGAGGCTGGGGCAGACAGGCAGTACAGCCACCTATAGCTGGGACCATGCGAGGGACGCTGGGAGGGCGGCGTGCCACCACAGAGGGCCTGTCTTCACCTGGCACATGGCATTTCTGACCATCTTGGCTTTAAGAGGTGGTCGATCTCAAATTGCAGCACCACAAACCTGTGCCCAGTGGACTCCTGCTCAGGGGGTACTATACAGAGAACCGCCCAGCAGGGACGTGTCGGCAGCCACACGTGCACTGTCCAGCTTCCTAGTGGCCACACGAGAAAGGTGAAAAGAAGCAGGTGAACACACACTCGTGATGTGTTTGTACCCAACCCAGCATATCCCAGAGTGTTAACATTTCAAAATAGAATCAGCACCAAACCGTGATAGAGGCGTTTACATTCTTTTCTTTCACATTGCTCGTGCTCAGCCGGGATGCCCTGTGCACACGCAGCCCCCAGTGGTCAGCTCAGTGGCTACATGTGGCTGGCAACCACCACCCTGGTCGACTCAGTGTCCCAGCCTCATGCTTGTCAGGCGAATGCTCAGATATGAACCACCAGAGACCCTGTTGTCTTCCACACGGAGATTTATTGCTTTTCGTTTACCCAGTCAAGGCAAACAGGACCTGGAGAGTGAGGGCGTGTGCACCCACCCCCAGGAGCAGCCAGTGCCCCTGGCTGGACAGAGGCTTCCCTCACTCAAGTTGGTGGCTCCTGAGGACTGATGTCTGGACCACACCCTTAGGTTGGTGTCCAAATGCCTACTCATTAGTCTATTGTTAGACGGTACAAAGATGTTTTTTCCTGCTTAAAGTCTACTTTTCTCTCCCTTTTGCCCTAGGAAAGGATGATTTACAAAAGAAGAATACTGTTATTGGTTTCATTTGTTTTATTGCTGATGTTGTTGGAGCACTATTTCAGGTAAATGTGAAATTTTGATGAATCATGACCTTTAGATCTGAACTGCTGAGCTGTGTCCACAGAGATTAGTAACTCTAAATCGATCAGGACTTACCTGCTCTTTGTGGGAGGAAACAAAATAGATTCATCTTAATTCTGTCCCTTTTAAACATTTGACAGTTACTTATCTTTGAGGTGCCAGCCCCCATTCTAGGTGCTGGGGACACAGTAACCAAAGTCCCTGCCCTTGGGGGACTTTTTATTCTGGGTGGAGAAGGCTGAGAATAAATATAGGGGCGGTACCTATGGCTCAAAGGAGTAGGGCGCTGGCCCCATATGCCAGAGGTGGTGGGTTCAAACCCAGCCCCGGCCAAAAACTGCAATATGTGTGTGTGTGTGTGTATATATATATATATATATATATATATCACAATGGCAAGGATATCACACTTCATATAACAAATGTCATAAAAAAGTAAATCGAGGTGAGAGACAGAGAATTTATTTTAGATAAATTAGAAATTACCTCCAGGATCTTTGTGCCTAATGTTGACAAGACACACAAGAAAAGCAATAAATCTCCATGTACCAGATGGGGAGCCTACCCATCCACTGACATCTCTCTGGATAAGTTCAATTCCTGCCCATCCCCGTGCCCATCTTCATATGCAATGCAACACTTCTGCAAGCTATTTGAATAGCAGTTGTGTTGTCATGGAAAGTATCTTTAATAATTAAGCCTTTGGGCGGTGCCTGTGGCTCAAAGGAGTAGGGCACTGGCCCCATATGCCAGAGGTGGCAGGTTCAAACCCAGCCTCGGCCAAAAACTGCAAAAAAAAAAAAAGAAAAGAAAAAAATTAAGCCTTTGCACAACATGCATTTGATAGAAGGCTTTCTCCAAAACATGCAAATAGCTCTTAAAACTCAACAATAAGGAAACAAACAACTCAGAAAATTGGTAGAAAAACTGGACAGACATCTCACTACAGAAGAAGACACAGATGAAAGGTTAAGATATAAAAAGGTGGTCACCTGTTGTTAGGGAATTGCAAATTAAAACAATCAGATAACACTGCACACTTGCTGGAATGGCTCATGCCTAGAAATCTAAACCCCACTGCTGCAGGGACCATTGGCCCAGCCACTGTAGGAGACAGTACAACTCAGCACAAAGTCACACAGCGCCTCCCCGCACGGCCCAGCTCTGTGCCCCTAGGAATTTATACTGTGCTGAAAGCTTCTGTCCCCGCAAAACCATGGACAAGATTATTCGTAAGCGCCCTAAACTGGGGGCAAACAAGCTGCCGTTCAATAGGTGCATACTGGGGCATGTCTATACGATGGGTACCACGACAGTCAAAAGAAACAAGGCCCTTTCCCTTGGACCTGGTGGCTTGTGCAGCGTGGCAGAGATCAAGGCTCCAGACCTTCACAGCAAGAAGGAGGAGGAGCTCCTGAAATAGCACTACGTAGTCGCCCCGCCCACATCTCCAAGGTGATAGGCAGCATGGCGTCCAAACTCTCCAAGATCTGAATCCTCCATAAACCCCTCGCCCATGTTCTCACTGCCATTAACCAGATGCAGAAAGAAAACCTCAGGAAGTTCTACAGGGACAGGAAGTACCAACCCTTGGATCTGCGAGCTAAGAGGACAGGTGCCGCGTGCTGCTCCTGACAAGCCCGGGAGAACTGATGACCAAGAAGCGGCAGCGTGAGAAGCAGCCACACCCACTGCGGGAGCACCGGTCAGGCCCAAGTCTAACAGGATCCATGAAAACATAAAACCAGGAAAAAAAAAACAGAGCAACCCAGTGTTAGAAAACGCAGCAGAACCTTAAACACATCTGGAGGGGAAAGAAGAGTCTGCAAAGTCCACATGCTGTGACTCTGATCACCAGTGTTCTGGAACCAGCAAAACTTACAGACACAAGGGAAAGGTCAGTGCCTGCTGGGGGCTTGGGTGGTGGGCAGTGCTGGAGGGTTGAAACATAGTTTCTTCTTGGTGGTGACACTGATACCGTAACAGTGAAAACATGACACCCTGCACTTTTCAAAGCCCACAGGACTTCACCATATGAGGTATAAAACTCACCCTATGAAAATTAGAAAATCTACCCTGAAAAGGTGTGCAGACCGTGAGAAAGTAATCTGCCTGTGTCACTAAGTCTAGGACATGCTCAAGTGACCCAGCTCACGCTGGGAACAGAAGCCGCACCCAAGTGCTGTGTCCAGGTGGATCAGGCCCCCTCCCAGCCTGGACACACCAACAGCTCTCCACCTTGGTCATGTACGTGGAACTGGGCAGTGAGTGAGGGACGATGACTGGCACTCGGGGGTCTTGCTGTTGGGGTGGAGATGCTGGAAGGGGACACCCATATGAGACGCACCACACAGACACACAGACACCTGTTTGCAGGTGTGTACGAAGCTCAGCCGGCGGACACCCAGGAAGAACAGCAAGCCCAGCACCCAGGTCTTGGCATCTGACTCCGCTCTCATAGAAGGAACCAAGGTTCCTGGGGAAAGGGCTGGTTCTGGAGGGGCAGGTGTTCAGGTAAGCCAGGCACCTTGTGTGGTGAGTATGGAAATGATTCTCTGAAAGTCCGGTATTGGAGGGACCCAGGCGCCAGAGCTGAAAGAGTTCCCAGAGCAAAGAAAATACCTAAAGTAGCACTGAATCAAAGCCCAAATTATAAAGCAAACGTTCATGAGTTAGTTCATACTGATGTAAATAAATGATTGAGGGAAGGAGGGAGGAGGGACAGAGGTCTGCGCAGAGCTCCCAGCACTTCTCATAGACGCTGCCCCTCAGGAGGTGACACCTGGGCCCCAAGTGTGTCTGCACTAGGCTTCCCCGGCTCTGCCCACCCTGCCCTGGGCCGGGGTCCTGCTGAGGTCTGAGAAACTGCCCCAGGCAAGAGAAGCTGCAGCAGAGGAAGGCTGAGAGGACCCTGGGGTGTGGGGCGGGGTAGGGGGGATATCCTGGCAAAAGCTGAGGGGCCCTGAGCAGAGCAGGGTTCTGGTTAATGACAGGGTCTCAGCATTGCTCTGTGAGTTGTAACAAGTGTCCCACACTCCTGGGGGACTTTAATAAGAGGAAGAGGAGAGCAGGCCAGGCTTGGGGACTCAGCCTGTAATCTCAACACTTGTGAGGCCAAGGCGGGTGGACTGCCTGAGCTCACAGGTTTGAGACCAGCCTGAGCAAGAGTGAGACCCCGCCTCTAAAACTAGCCTGGTGTTGTGGTGGGCGCCTGTAGTCCCAGCTACTTGGGAGGCTGAGGCAAGAGAATCGCCTAAGCCCAGGAGTTGGAGGTTGCTGTGAGCTGCAATGCCACAGCACTCTACTGAGGGCAACATAATGAAACTCTGTTTCAAAAAAGAAAAAAAGAACCAGGGCTAGGTTTCACTTTGGTTGGAATATAGGATAAATCACATAGACTCAAAATCTAGTCTATTAAAAAAAATTTTTTTTTAAATAAGAGGGAGAGTCTATAGGGAGTTCTAGATGCTTTCTTTAGAATTTTTTTTTTTTGAGACAAAGTCTCACTGTCACCCTGGGTACAGTGCTGTGGCATCATAATAGCTCACAACAATCTCATTCTCCTAGGCTCAAGTGATCCTCTTGCCTCAGTCTCCTGAGTAGCTGGGACTACAGGCACCTGACAACACAATGCTCCTCTACTTGTTCTATTTTTAGTAGAGACATTCTTGCCCAGGCTGGTCTCAAACTCCTGAGCTCAAGAAATCCTGCCACCTTGGCTTCTCAGAGTTCTGGGATTACAGGCATGAGCCACCATGCCCAGCCACTAACTCTAGAAATTTTGTTATTCAAATTGCAATAGGTCCTTATTCAAATTAAAAAATAAAATGATTTTTTTCATTTATTTAATGAACAAGAAATCATTTACTTGTATGTAGGGTTGATACATTTAGGAAATAAATATACAGAATGTCCAGTTACATTTGAATTTCACATAAACAATAAATCAGTTTTAACAGAAGTATGTCCCATGCAAGATTTGAGACACACACCAAAAAATTATTCTTTGTCTATGTCAAACCAAAACTTAACGGGCATCCTGTGTTTGGCCTGGCAAATCTCTCTGCAGAAAAGGCAGCTCTGCTGTTCAAGAATTGCTGTGGGACGGACACCCTGCACGCTGGGGGGCAGAGCTGCCAGGCAAGTGGGTTCTGATGGCAACAGAGGGATGGGGGCAGGAAGCACGTTGCCTGCATGTGTGAGGTCTGTGTGTGTGTGTGTGTGCGCACGCACATGCTGAGTTGGGTATGGACTAGACAGGACTCGAGACAGTTTTGCACAACAGGCGGCCTTTGCGGACGGCCGGCACAGTCGCCCCACCATGGGTAGGAGAAGTCACCTGCAGTTTGGTGGGTGTGGCAAGCAGAGCGGGCAGAGCCTGTGTCCAGCCGACATTTAAGGCAGTTGGATGTTCAAGAATGCTGTTGGGCACTTGCAAGCCATGGACTTGTAGTCCCAGCCCACTGTGCGGAAGTCGCAGGCCCATCTCTGCAGCTCGGGAACCTCACCTGCTCCTGCAGGACCAAGGTTGGCACTCATTGCCCTCTAAGTGTCTCTCCCATGGAAGACGTGTTTCTTCAGAGGGCTGTGTTCTCTGCACCCCTCATTCCAGAGGGCCCAGAAACCTGGATGAACAATGACTTTTCAGCAAGTCCCTCATTTGTCATGTCATGTTTCTAATGAAGCTGAATTTTGACGGAGTCCAGCCCTGGCGAATCCCATAGTGAAATAACTGTGACTAAGGGCACTCCTGAGAGTGTCAGGGACTCAGTCTTACTGTTATTTCTCTTACTTACAAAATGCCCAGTGCCCAGGAGTTATGAGAGAGAGGAGCCTAATCAGCCTGTTAATTGAACAATCAACATGAACCGTCAGTGACCTCTGGATGAGTGAAGTATTCATATGCAAAGAGAATCAGAGGTGATCATCTGGACCCCCTAGCCTCTTCAACATGCAATATAGTCACTTCATGTTTGACAAACAAATTAAAGAATCTACACTTCTGGCTCGGCTCCCATAGCACGGTGGTTACGGCACCAGCCACATACACCCAGACTGGCAGGTTCGAAGTCGGCCCAGGACCAGCTAAACAATGACAACTGCAACAAAAAATAGCTGGGCATTGTGATGGGCACCTATAGTACCAGCTACCTGGGGGCTGAAGCAGGAGGATCACTTAAGGTTTGAGGTTGCTGTGAGCTATGATGCTACAGCGCTCTACCAAGGGTGACATAGTAAGACTGTCTCAATAAAAAAAAAAAAAAAACTACGTTTCTGTCTACATATAAGTTCTTTCATATGATTGTTTAAGATCTTTTTTTTTTTTTTAACTTTTCCTCCCAACAACCACAGCCTTGGTCATGACGTCTGCCCCCTACAGTGTGGCCCCTTTCAGATCTAGCTGAGATCTCTCTTCTCCAAATGGTTTCCTGAACTCGAAATTTGGGTTGACAGCACTTGTAGGCTCCCACAGCACCCAGTCACTCCCTGCCACCCCACCTGCTTAAAGTTGTCCTCCCCACCTCAAGCTTCCTGAGGACAGGGCCAACTCGGTGGGCTTCTGTGCCCATCACAGGCACGCGGGGAATGTTAGCAGAGGAGCCTTATAATCACCTCATTTTCCCTTTGTACCCAGGAGTCAAGTAGAACTTCAGCTGTCAGACTGGTTTAAACCCAGGTAAGAGCACGTACATCCATTTGCATGCACACAAAAACAATATCTCTCAGTTTGAGGTGGTAAGTTTTCCCCCTAGTCATAGCTAACCTGAGAGGTTTCCAGAATTGGAATTTTTATTTTTAAGGCTCTTATATACAAACCTAGAGTTTACTTACCAAGAATTGGGCAATCACGGTGATAAACAGAAAGCCCACGTGCTAAGTGCTTGAATGTGCCTGGTTCATTCAGGAAAAGGGCATCTCTTTGGAGATAGCTTGAAATGCCACAGTGACGCTGTCTGACTTGGGCACCCCCCGGGTGGGTGTGACCACAGCTCATTTAACCAGTTCTCTGTGGGTTTATGATGATTTATAGTTGGGGCTATTGTAAGTAAAGTTTTGATGAAGAAATTTGAACATGTTTTTGTACACTCATGTGAATTTCGCATTATACAAGTTTTGAAAATGGGGTCATTAGGTCAAAGAGTGTAGCCATTTACAATATTGATGTAAATTTAAAACTGTGAAATTTCCCTTTGATAATCATACCCTTTTATTTTCTTGTCTATAATCCATAAGCTGAAGTATTTTTTTCTTCTTTTTTTTTATTGTTGGGGATTCATTTAGGGAACAAAGAGCTAGGTTACATTGACTGCATTTGTTAGGTAAAGTCTCTATTATAATTGTGTTCCGCCCCCAAAAGGTATGTCACACACACCACGTGAACCCCATCCCCTCCCTCCTTCCCTCTCTCTGCTCTCCCCTTACCCTACCTCCCTCTCTCCTACCCTCTCTCCTCTCCCCCATTCCCCCACCCCTCACCATGTATTAGATCATCAATTGTCCTCATATCAGAATTGAGTACATAGGATTCATGCTTCTCCATTCTTGTGATACTTTACTAAGAAAAATGTGTTCCACTTCCATCCAGGTTAATATAAAGAATATAAAGTCTCCACCTTTTTAATGGCTGAATAGTATTCCATGGCATACATATACCACAGCTGGTTAATCCATTCCTGGGTTGGTGGGCATGTAGGCTGTTTCCACATTTTGGCAATTGTAAATTGAGCTGCAGTAAACAGTTTAGTGCAAGTGTTCTTATGATAAAAAGATTTTTTTTTCCTTCTGAGTAGATGCCCAGCAATGGGATAGCAGGATCAAATGGGAGGTCTAGCTTGAGTTCTTTGAGGGTTCTTCATACTTTCTTCCAAATAGGTTGTATTAGTTTGCAGTCCCACCAGCAGTGTAAAAGTGTTCCCTTCTCTTCACATCCACACCAGCATCAGCAGTTTTGAGATTTTATGATGTGGGCCCTTCTTGCTGGGATTGGATGATATCTCAGGGTGGTTTTGATTTGCATTTCTCTAATAATTAGGGATGATGAGCATTTTTTCATGTTTATTAGCCACATAAGCTGAAGTATTATCAACTTTTTTATTGTGGGTATAACTGCTAGTGAAAATATCTCAATTTAATTTACATTTCTGTAATCATTACTGTTTGAACATCTTTTTATATGTTTACCATTCATTTGCATTATACTTTTTGCATATTCTTGTTTTCACATGAACATTATGAGCAGATTTCAGGAGCACAGAACTTGACTAAGCATAACTCAGGGCTCACAGTAGCATTCTCTGATTCATGTGAAACCTGCTATTAGTACTTACATTTGCTTATTTTTAATAAAACAGAAACTATAACTTTCAACACTTACCTCCCACTCCCTCCCTCTATCCTCACTCCAGCCCTGAATCTTGGCAATTAGGCAGGTGGTCCTGGTTAATTGCAATCTTGCCTTCCTGTTCATACAATTTTGTCTCATCTATAAGTATTCTGAAAAGATTCGTTTTTAAATGTTAGTGGTTATAACTTTACAAAGAGGATATCCTGCTTACACTGTCCTCTGGGACTAACCTTACCCCTTTATGCTATATTACTAAGATTCACCCACATTTTGTGAATTCACCCATAATTCACCCATAATTGGTTCTGACAGTTGTATGATAAACCAGAGTGGAAATATACCAGCTTATTCTTCTGCTGTCTGGCTCGTGGACACTTCAGTTGTCTTGCTATTATGAATAGTGCTGCTGTGAACACTCTGCTGTGAGGGCCCTGGTTCAAGGAATTAGGGTGTGGACATCTTGGAACCACTGGGTGGTGGGGCCTGTGGATGTCCTGCCTAGGACATGGTGCCTGTCTAAGTCCAGTCAGGCCTAGATAACAGAAATTTATTTTTCACAGCTCTGGAGGCTGGAAGCCCAAGCGCAGGGTGCCAGCATGGTCACATTCTGGTGAAGGCCCTTTTCTGGCTTGCAGGCAGCAGCAGCCTTCTCACTGTGTCTTCACTGGGCAGAGAGGGAGAGGAAGTGAATGCTCACCCATCTGCAAGAAGGGTGCTGATCCCACCAAGAGGGCTCCACCCTCATGATGTAATTAGCTCCCGAGGCCCCATCTCCAAATATCACAACATTGAGGAGTAGGGTTTCAACACGTGAATTTTGGGAGAGGGTCACAAACATTCAGTCCATAGCAGTGCCAAATAATTCCCCAAAGTAGTATACCAAGGTAGAGTCTCAAAAATCTCCTTGTGCTTTGTATTGGAGCTGCCAAAAGAATGGATGTAAAAAGTACCTCTTAAGTTATATTAACAAAATGATAAAAGGTCCCTGACATTGCCTTCTCCAGAAAACCAAAGAGAAAACTGGTAGTAAGAATGAGAATCAGCTTTTTCAGAACTTTGGAAACTAAAGATGTACAGTGATCTAGAGGCATATGCTCCACTGGAGCTCGGTGAGAACAGTGAAATTTTTGACATTTTAGTTTGCTCTGGTCACACTGCTTCCCCCAGCTCCACAGTAGCCTTGGAAACTAATAATGTATATTGGAAGTGAAGCACAGTGAGCACAGTGGAGCTGAGCTCCCTCAGAGCCTCAACCCCGAAGAGCTCACCACTGACCCACCTGCAAGTCTGTCAGTGCTTGGCCTGACCCGGATCTCTCTGAGTCAGGTCAGGAAATTTTTCCCAGGACATTTGTTGGAAACAAACATGGGCAATTGCTTAACTTCACAACTGCCCAAGGCACGTAGCAGTGGAGCAAATAATAAATTAAATTAAAAATTTGAGAAGAAAAGCTGGGAAATTAGATACCAGGGTTTGAAAAACTCTGACTAATCTAGAATACCTGGGGATTTGTAGCATTGTGCATCTATTCAGAAAAGACCTGAGAAGGCACTAAGCTCTTAACAACTGGCAGATCTTGGGCTCTGTGCAAAGAGGAAGTGAAGGCTCAGGTGGGGTTAGCAGCCACAGGCCTGGCCAGGTGATGCAGTGTGCCCCAATATGTGCACAGACCTGCCAGCAGGGCTTGGAGAATTATCATTTCCAGGCATTTAAAGAAATCTTCTCTATCGCTAAGCTAAGTGGGCAGACTTATGTTGCAAAAATCAGAAAAGTTTTAAGTCTTAAAGCCATAAATCATGAAAAATGCAGACTTTACAAAATTGTTCAGAAAAGGCATGAAACAAATGAGTAATAGAAAAAAAGCAAAAACAACAAACCCTGGGAAGGGAGGGAGAATCTGATTTTCAGAGTTGTCACATTATGTTGTTTAAAATATCTAGTTTTCAATGAATAATTATAAAATATGCAAAGAAACGAGACAGTATGACCTTTACACAGGGGAAAAAAAATGAACAATCAATAGAGACCATCCCTGAAGAAGCTACCTGTTGGACTTACTAGACAAAGAGTTTAAATCAGCTGCTGAAAGATGTGCAAAGAGCTACAGAAACCTATGGACAAGGAGCTAAAGAAAAGTATGAAAACATCTTACCAAGTAGAAAACATCAGTAAAGACATAGAAATTATTTTTTTAAAACCAAATATAAATTCTGGACTTTAAAAGTATAATTATTGAATTTGGAAACTCACTAGAGAGTCTCAAGACATGAAATGAACTTCAGGTAGGATAAACTCAAAGAGATCCACAACCAGACACATTGTAATCAGGCTATCAAAAACCAGAGAAAGAATTTTAAACGTACCAAGACAGAAGTGATTCAATATTTACAAGAGAACCTCAATAAGATTAATACTGATTTTTCACCAGGCATAATAGAGGCTAGACATGAGAATGAAATATTAGGAGTGCTGAAAAACAAAAACCTGTCAGCCGACAATTGTATATCCAGCAAAACTATCCTTCCAAAAGTGAAGAAAATATTCAGACATTCCCAGAAAAGTAAACAGTGAGAAAAATCATCACTAGCAGACTCACCCTATAAGATCCACTAAAAAGAGCTCTTCTGGCTGAAATAAAGGGGCACTGGACAGCAGCTCCAATGTACAAGAAGAAATACAGAGCATTAGTAAGGGTGATTTCAAAGGTAAATATAATAGATGGATTAAACATAATTTACCTTGTAACTCTTTTCTTCTCCTATCTTATTTACTTATTTATTTATTTTTAGAGATAGTATCTCACTCTGTCACCCAAGCTAGGGTGCAGCGATGCCATTATAGCTCAAACTCCTAGACTCAGGCAATCCTCTTGTCTCAGCCTCCTAAGTAGCTGGAACAACAGGTGCCAACACCATGCCTGGCTAATTTTTTATTACTTTTTGTAGAGTCTTTCATTCTGTGTTGCCCAGGATGGTCTTGAACTTCTGGCTTCAAGGCATACTCCTGCCTCAGCCTCACAAAGTGCTGGGATTATATGCATGAGCCACTGTGCTAGCCTTGTATCTTATTCAGAAGATAGCTGTATAAATCAATAATTATTATTCTGTGTTGGACACACAATGTATATAGATATAATATATATGATAATAACAGCATGAAGATGGGAGAGGGAATATAAGAGGAAAGGTTTTGTATGCTATTAAACATAGAATTTGTATTAGCCTAACTAGATTCTTATGAGTTAAGATGTTAATTGTAATCCCCAAGGCAACTACTAAGAAAATAAGTATAAGAAGTATAAGACAATATATAATAAACAAGTGAATTAAAATAGTATTCTATCATACCTGTAATCCTAGCACTTTGGGAGGCTGATGTGGGAGGAGTGCATGAGGCCAGGAGTTCAAGACCAGCCTGAGCAAAAGCCTGACCACCCTACAAAAAAGGGGGAACAAAAAGGAAAAAGAAAAAAATTAGTGGAGTGTGGTGGTGCATGCTTGTAGTCCCAGCTACAAGCAGGAGGGCTTCTTGAGTCCAGGAGTTGAAGGGTGCAGTGAGCTATGACGACACCACTGCACGCCAGCCTAGTTAACAAAACAAGACTGGGTGGAAGGAAGGAAGGAAGAAAGGAAGGAAGGGTACTTTAGAAAAATACCCATTTGGCTCAGCGCCTGTGGCTCAA